GGGCGCGTGGGGGGGCGGGGGGGATCTCGGCCTGCAGCATCCGCCGGCCCGCACCTCAGACCCCCCCCGACGGGGGGAGGCGCAGGAAGGGGGGGGCCGGCCAGAGACGGGCTGGGGAGGGGGGGCCGCGCAGCCCCCCCGGGCCATGCTGACTCCCGGGGCCTGACCCCCCGGGCCAGCCCCCCCTCCCCTAGCTCCGCGGCCCGCCGACTGGGGGGGCCCAGCCCAGCCCCCTGGGGACCCCCGGAGAGGTGGGGGGCAGCCGGGGGGGCCGGGACGGAGCTGTCGCCGGCCCCCACCGGAGGGACGGGGCGACCTGCCGCAGGGGGGGCGGCCGGGGGGCCGGTCGGACCGGGACCAAGGGCACCATGTCGTCCGGGGCCAAGGAGGGGGGCGGGGGCTCCCCCGCCTACCACCTCCCGCACCCACACCCACACCCACCCCAGCACGCCCAATATGTGGGCCCCTATCGGCTGGAGAAGACGCTGGGCAAAGGACAGACAGGTGAGTCAGGGGAGGGGACACCTGGGGTAGGGGCAGGAGAGCTCGGGGGCAGAAGGCGGGACTCATGGGTATTCAAAGGGCAGGGGCTGATTGCCCAGACCCCGGGGTCCCTCACAGAGAAGGGACTTGGGGTCCAGTGTGCTGGGTCCCCAGGATGGAGGGGGCTGGGGGTTTGGACTCCTGGGGGGAGGTGCTGAGGCCCAAAGGCTCCCACCTCACGGGGGCAGAAGTTGGAGGGGCTCCAGGGCCTCGGTGGGGAAGGGAGGCCGGCCTGCAGCAGGGGATCAGCCGGCACTGGGAGCTGAGGTCCTTGCTGCAGTATGCCGCGGGATGGGGGTGCACTCTGGGCAGCCGCTTCCCTCTGCACTGCTCTCTGGCTGAGGAGGCCCTCAGGCTCTCCTGGCAGGCTGTCCGGGTGACCAGCAGTGAGGCTAGGGTGATGAGGTCTGCAGCATTCTCCCCCTTCTCCAGCATGCAGGCTCAGTATGGGGAACAGGAACGGAAGGTGGAAAGGTGGATCTGAGAGTCAAATCTCCCAGGAGTGGTTGTGGAATCAGGGGTCATCCTTTGGCTGTTGCTAAACCCTGGCTCCAGCCGTGGCCTCTTTCCTGCCAGGTGGAGGGTGGGTGGGTGTGAAGCAGGATCTGCACACCCGTGTCCTAGGCAGGAGGTCCAGGGGTGGGCCCAGGATCTCTTGTGAAGCTGAGGGCATGAGGGAAGGGGAGAGGCTCAGACCTCAAGATCCTAGTGGTAGGAGTGTGAAGGTGTCACTGACCTGAATTCCTGAGTTATGGGGGAGGAAGGGACCATGGGGCCTGGATGCCTGGGTCTGAGGGAGGAGGGGCTGGGGGCCGTACTCCAGGCTCTGTGGCTTTGGGGCTTACCCTTGGGAAGTGGGCATACTCTTGGGGTTTGCATGCTCCCAACTACAGCTGCTATTAAAAGCAGATCAAGAAGGGGATTAAAAGGTCAGGATTTAGGAGGAGGCGGAGGGGGATGGTCCGGGAGGGGGGCAAACGTGAAAGTATATTCCTTGGGAGACATGGAGTCTCCAGAAGATTGAAGGGCAGAGAATTCAAGGAAGCGATGGGTTGAAAGAGAGGTTGAAGGTGGCAGTCGGGGAGACAACATGATGGAGACACGGTGAGGAAAGATTCTGTGGAGAGATGGACTTGAAGGGTCACACCAGAAGGACAGAGAATCTGGGTGAGAACCAGGGGTGGCTGTGGAGGTGATGGCAGGCGGAGGGATGGACAATCAGAAGGGACAGAACAGGGGCATCTGCCTGGCTCAGTCAGTAGAGCACACGACTCTTGGTCTTGGGGTTGTGAGTTCGAGCCCCACGTGGGTGTAGAAATTACCTAAGAGGGGAAAAAATAAAGAAGGAACAGAACAGAATGTCCATGTCTACGGGCAACAGGAAGAAGAGAGTGTTTCATGGGAATGTAGTTGTCAGAGCCCTCAGCTCGGGTCAGGGTGATTCAGGCCACTGTCAAACAGCCAGCAGGGAAAGGAGGAGGAAAGTGGGGAGTAAGGGGGACTTAGGAGCCAGAGGCTGGGAGAGTGCTCTGGGAGCACACCCCACATTTTCAGTCCTGCTTCCTCAGGGCTGGTTAAACTCGGGGTCCACTGCATCACTGGCCAGAAGGTTGCCATCAAGATCGTGAACCGGGAGAAGCTGTCTGAGTCGGTGCTGATGAAGGTGTGTGTGCACTGGGGCAGGGTGTCCCTTTGGGGCTGGGGGGGGACGAGGGAGGCCATGCTGACCTCCATTCCTGTGTCTCCCGCTGACCCCCAGGTGGAGCGGGAGATCGCCATCCTGAAGCTCATTGAACACCCACACGTCCTCAAGCTGCACGATGTCTACGAGAACAAGAAATATTTGTAGGTATTTATAGACACCCAGCCCCCCATGCACCCCCACCCCAAGTTCCTAGGGTGGGACCTTTCTGGAAACAAGGCCTGGAGGGGCCTGGAGAAACTTAAGCTCTCCTGGCTGGAGCCACTGAAGGGCCAGTCAGTCCCTTCGCTCCTGCACAGAACACCCTCCCCCACACACATACACGCACACATAATCCTCCTTGTTCCCGCACTGACTGGCCTGACCTGGCCTGACACTAAGGGCCAAATGTGCCCTAGCAACAGGACAGCCAAGTGTCAGCCATCCTGGTGGGGGACAGAGGTCCATCCTGGCCCTTCTTCCCCAGCCCCAGGCCCACGCCCTGCTGCACTGCAGGGCACACTCTCTACTAGATAATCCAGATGTCCTCAACTGGACCCAACTTGCTAAGGGCAGCTCCCCACCCTGCTCCTCTTTGCTGAGGCAATGGGGGCTTAGCAAAGCCTGAGGCTCAGTGAATCCTGCTTCTTCCTAAACCTACCCCCAACCTCTTGGAGCATTGCAGGCCCCCCCCCTCCTCCCACATAACTCTGGGTGCTATGATGGACACCCCAACAATGGCCTTCTATAGGAGTTCCCAGTCTGTATCTCAAAGTTGATTACCCCCCAGGAAGATGGGAGTGGAGTCCAGCTGCCCAGGGTACATACAATAGGCCTTTGTCTGGACTCTGGTGACCCAAGGGACAGCTGGGCTGGGCAGTGGGTGAGGGGACAGACCCGTGCCCCCACCCCCGGATGAACTGACTCCAGGACCCATCAGATGCTGGGGAGGGTTTCCCCAGGCAGTAAGAGGCCCGGTCCCAGGTGCTCATGGGAATTGTAGTCCTCAGGCTTCCCCAGGTGTGGCGGCAGGGAGGGGCTTTGTCACCATCTGGTGGAGCTATCACTCCCACTCCTCCACCTAGGTAGGCATAGGGGGTGGCCCATGGGAGTTTGGGCTTCACAGAGAACTATCAGCTTTCCAAGAGCTCATAGAAATTGCGCTTTTGTTCCCAGGGGCTGATGGGAATCAGTTTTAGCCTCCTGGGGCCTGATGGGATTTGGAGTCTTAAGGATCCAGGTGGCTGATGGGAATTAGGAGTCTGTGTCCCAGAGGCTTATGGGAGTTGGGAATTTTAAACCTCTCAGGAGCTGATGGGACTTGTAGTTTTTTATCTCATGGTTGTTGACTTAGGTTGGTGCACACTGCAATTGTTATTGCCAGGAATTAATGAGAATTTGAGTTTCTTCATCCCTGAGGCTTACAGGAATGAGAGGCTTGGCTTTCCAGAAACTAATGGGAGTAGGGGAGGGGGAGGTGTCTTTATTTCTCAGGGTCCTGTGAGAATTGAGGTGTTTCTGTCCTCCAGGTGCTAACGGAGTTATCTTATCTCCTGAAATAACTAGGAGTCAAAGTATTGATACTCCTAAATTTGCCGTGGGAGTCTGCTGCCCAGAGCTGAGAGAAATTGAGTTTTGGGTTCCCAGAGGCTGATGGGAATTGGAGTCTCTTTTGCTCAGGGACTCATGGGAATTGGAGTCTGCTCCTCCTCCTCCCAGGGACTCATGGGAATTGGAGTCTTCTCCTCCTCCCAGGGACTCGTGGGCATTGGGAGTCTCCTCCTCCCAGGGACCCGTAGGAATTGGGATTCTCTGCTTCCAGGGGCCAGTGGGATTGAGGTCTTGTGCGGGGGTCCAGGGGATTTTGAAAGAGAGACCAGGCTCTTTGGTCCTCCACATGCCCCTTCCAGCCCTCTGCCCCCTCCACGTCCCCCAGGTACCTGGTTCTGGAGCACGTCTCTGGAGGTGAGCTGTTTGACTACCTAGTAAAGAAGGGGAGACTGACGCCCAAGGAGGCCCGGAAGTTCTTCCGCCAGATAGTATCGGCGCTGGACTTCTGCCATAGCTACTCCATCTGGTGAGGGGGCAGCTGGAGGGGAGGCCGGGATGAGCACTGCCCACAAGGCTCACTGGAAGCCAGTGTGGTGCAGCCCCCAAATAAATCTTTATTCCTTTTTAAAAATTGAGATAAAACTCATGTCTCATAAAATTCACCCTTTTAAAGTATACAATTCAGCAGTTTTTAGTACATCCAGTGTTGCGCATCGCTGCTATGTAATTGTAGAACATTCTCCTCACCCCCGAAATCATCACCTCGTACCCATGAAGCAAGCAGTCACCCCTCCAGCCCCCCTGCCCCCAGCCTCTGACGACCACCAATCTGCTTTCCGTCTCCATGGATTTGCCCATTCTGGACATTTCATATAAATGGAATCATTCTATATGTGGTCTTCTCTGTCTGGCTTCTTTAACTCAGCAGAATGTTTTCAGGGTTCATCCATGTTGTAGCATGTGTCGGTATTTCCTTCCTTTTCGTGGCTGAATAATACTCCATTGTGTGGCTGCGCCGTATCTCATCTATCCATTCCCCAGTTGATGGACACTTTAGTTGTTTCTCCTTTTTGGCTCTCGTAAATAATATGGACATGGGAACAATCAAGTACAAGTTTTGGTGTGTGCCTGCGTTTTCGATTCTCGGGTATATCCCTGGGGGTGGAATTGTCAGGTCATGTGGGAACTCTGCTTAGCCTTTTGAGGAAGCGCCAGACCATTTTCCAAAGCAGCCGTACCCTTCACCATCCCCGCCAGCAGTCCACAAGGGTTCCAATCTCTGTACATCCTTGCCAACACTTGTTATCATTTGACTTTTTGATTATAGCCATCCTAGTGGGTATGAAGTAGCATCTCATTATTGTGGTTTTGATTTGCATTTCCCTGATGACTAATGACGTAGAACATCTTTTCATGTGCTTATTGGCCGTTTGTTTATCTTCCTTGGAAAAATGTCTGTTCAGATCCTTTGCCCATTTTTTATTGAGTTGTCTTTTTATTATTGAGTTGTAAGAGTTCTTTATTCTAGGAACAAGAGATAGCTCTAGGAATAACCCCTAAGAGTTCTTTTTTTAAATCTTTTTTTTTTTAAAGATTTTTTTAATTTATTTATTTGAGACAGAGAGAATGAGAGAGAGAGAGCATGAGAGGGGGGAGGGTCAGAGGCAGAAGCAGGCTCCCCGCCGAGCAGGGAGCCCGATGCGGGACTCGATCCAGGGACTCCAGGATCATGACCT